GACCGTAAAGGAAATATTACTTTTCAGAAATTTCGATTTAGATATTATCTAAATCGAAATTTCCGAAAAGTGACGGTCCGAATTAAATGTAATTTTGAGACCATAACAAAATAACAAGGAAAAACATACATCATAAAAACATGTCGAAAGCCGCTACTTTATAAGAATCGCTCTTATATTTATATACATATAAATATATATATATATATATATATATATATATATATATATATATATATATATATATATATATATATATATATATATATATATATATATATATATATATATATATACATATGAATCCTTAAATGAAAAACACAATCACACATGATAAACACATATAGATAACATACAAATTTATATCAACATTTCAACCACATATTATCTATTAAAAGAAAATATTATTTAAATAAGGATGAGTTCAAACAAAGGTTATCTATGAAAGAACAAAAAGCATGCAAACGATGTAAATAGGCTGTATGTGCATAAGGGTGTATAGGTTTAATGTATAAGTCTGTGCTGTTTATGTCATTCAGTAGAGTCTTGTATTGTTAGTAACTAGCTAACAATACAAGACTATAAAAGATTTGTCTCTTAACTAAACCAAGCCAGCCCAGCCATACTCCAGAAAACCATGATGGATTAAACACCTATGCATGGATTTAGAACTGACTCATGACTAAAAAGCTAACCCAGGCATCTTCCACAGACAAACATCCTCTTTCGCGGTGACAGTAATTGCGATTAGGAAAATAGTCGTGCTCGATGACCGTAACACTAATCCTAACGGGCGAGGCCCAATATTATTTTAAAACTTTGGCATATAAAAAAAAAAAGGAAAAATCTTATTTCCAAATTAGTGCACATAATAATTTTGCATAAATCAAATGGTAAAAATAATATAAATAAAATCTTAGTCAGTGTATTCAAAGTTAGCATAGTAATAAATGGCAAATCAGTGTTTTCATTTTTAGATGATTCAATAATGTCATTGTGCTCATTTAAATTTCTTATTTCATTTATGTTTATTGGTTTTAGTTCCTCATTTCTATCATCAAAATCATTATCTTAATCTAACTCATTATACTCTTTATCGGCATAAATATTGTCATTAGCGTCATTTGTATTTTTCTTTTCAGTTTCTTGAAAAAGAAGATCAACTGCGTCTCCATGTAGATTCATTTTTTATGTTTACATTTTGATCTTGCATAGATTAGAGATAAAAGAATTGGGTCACTCGAAAGCGTTAAATAATTCAATTTGTCCGTCATTGTAGCTTTTTGATCAAATTTACGAGTGTGTTGTAAACGAATATTTTTATTATCTTTATTCCGAGTTTCAATTGCTTCTTCAGAGTACATTCCAATTGGTAGCATAAATCTAGATATTGTCAGACTACTATGAATGAGTAGTTTGTGTACTGAGGCTGACATGTAAAACCATGAGTACTCTCGAATAAAAATATTTGCTGTTTCCAAACAATGTTTTATATTTGGCTGTTAATTTTTTTGTTCAAATTAATAAGATAGATAGAATAGATAGACAGATAGAATAATGTATTGCCTGTATATTAAATCATTCTTGACTCCTATTATTTGCGATAACTCAGCTTGCTGACGAAAGGCACGACGAGCAGTATTGCCATCATTTGATGTCCCAGATCCGCCTTGAAGAGGCATGTCAACAATAAGGCCAATTTTTGCAAACTCACGCTGAACTAACTTTTTTTTCACAGCAGCTAATTTTATATTTTCAGGTCTTCGTATTTGACATCCTTTAATATCAAGTCTATAACTTATATGTAGAGTACACTCAAAACATCGAATCCATGTATGTAATGACGATAACCCAAACTCTAAGCTTTGCGAATCTGTTAAACGGATCAGAGCTTGATCTAAGTTGTTTATTGATCTAGGAGCACATTTGCAAATATTACAAATTTGAGCCGATGTATTGTCACAAATTGCATTAACTGCTTTTCCGTCAATCATTGAAAGTTTAAGATTGAATATTACTTCAATTACAAGCTTCTTTTCAGCTTTTGGTTCCATTATTTCTACATTAATAATCATTACACTCAGACATTAAAACTTTGATCAGGCATTAAAACATTACATTCATCATTGTTGTTTTTTTGGACGGAAAATCTTTGTTTATACTGTTTTTGGATACTTGCACCGTCGAAGCCCCGTTTCCAATTCAAAGTCATTTCTAAACAGGATTCAAAGGAATCAAGTTGAGATATTCTGCTTTTATCAGTATTTAGTTGCAGCATTCGATGAACTGTATGGTATAAGAATACTTTCAGTGGAACTTCGCCTTTCATTTCATTTTCAGCTATATAAATACCATGAGGATTACACTTTTTTTTTCGTCGCGAATGTTGTTATATGTAGGATATATATTTGCATTACACTTAATTGAGTTATTTCGCATAGTTTGATATTGCGTCTTCGATAAATTCATAGCTGTTATTAATGCTAATCCTTCTAGTTGCGTATTAGGTACAATTTGATTGTTTTTGTCCTGAATAAAACATTTTATTTGATTTGCCGAATCTGTATTTAATAAACATTCTTTTAAAACATACAGCAAACTATATCGCTTTTTTTTAACCCCATTTCTGCTGCTTGCAAGATTTTATCGTGATCATGATTTACTAACAATATGAACGCGCGGTGACGTTTACTTCGGTAAGACATATCTTTGTATTTCTGACATGGTTTCCCAAATGACTGTTTATTTAAACAAGAAACATTTAAATCGACGGTTTGTGATGATTGTTCGCTAGGTTGCTGATTAATTAAAGACAAAATTTTATTATTAAGCTAAAATGATTCGCCACTTAAAAATTTGCTCTTATTTCGAAAATATTTTTTGCTAAATTTTGATTGGCATTTGCATACAAATTCGAGGAGAGCTTTTTCAAAACAAGTAAAATCATCATTTAAATTGATGAATATGTTTAATTCGTTTATGAGCATACTATTATACTTATCTAAGATTTGTCTTGACGTAATTGTGATGAAATAGTGTCTTTAATTTTTTCAAATACTTTAAGCCGAGTTATGTTATTAAACATTTTTAAAAGATAACTTGATTATTTATAAGATAAGAGTTTTAATAATGCTACTTCAAGAGAAAATTTAAATATCTATAATTTAGTGTAAATTTATTGAAACAATTTTATTATTTTTGGAACATAATTGCAATCAAATCGCTGCAATTATCAACTAATTAGTCTTCATATAAACATATAGTATCATCAGAAAATCAAACGATCTTCGAGTGGCATTTAGAAAAAAGAAGATAAGGAAATTTAGAAAAACCCCATTAAAATACCAACCATTTTAAGACATTATAAATAAATTAAATGCAAATATATAACTAAAACATATACTTTTTATAAACACTAAGTTAAAATGTTTATTTAAAATAAATATAGTCCAAAGCTTTTTTAATTGAAAAAAGTTATGTAAATTTTGAGGATAAGTATTTTTAAAAAAAAAAAAATTACGAAAATTTGACAATTTTGGTTCTAGCAAGGTTGCCTTCATCTCTAGTAATTAAACAGATACATTTTTGAGTGGAGTACCTTTGTTTTAATAATGAAATAAAAAAAAAGTTTAGAAGATTTGACTTTTTTTGGACTTTAGGCCACGGAAAATAAATTATGGCCCACTGTGCACATGAAAGAACCTGTAGCGTAAAAATACTATTTTTGTGTAATATGATCCTGCTCATATTACCCAGCGTTTTTTACTGATAAAAACTTACCTAGTTTTAAGTCCTAAAATTTCAGTGGTTTTAAATTGATCTTTGAATAAAAGCAAAACAGTAAAAAATTTTAATATTATAACAATACTAAATATTTTTCTGTAGTTTAATTTTTAAAAATTTATATTTTTATCGTTTTAAAGTTTGAATTAAAAAAAATAACGAAGTGTTCTAGGTTATATGAGCACTTTCGCTACTTTTTTACAACTGCATTTTTAAGATAAAATTTCTAGTGTTCAAATATCTAAGTGGATCGTGAGTAATGATTTCTAAAAATTGTTTATTTGCAAAAATATTGGATCAAGCATAATCAGAGTGGCCACGCTTTTTTTATTTAAAAAATTTGAAGCATTTAGGATATTTTGCCGGGAAACTTGAAAAAACGAATAAAAATTTTAGGATTGTTTAGGACAATTTTTTACAAAAATAGGGAAAAAAAAATTTTTTACGAACATTATTATTCAAAAATCTTAATAAAAAATTTGAAAGTTCAAGAAGAATCTTTGACAGGAAAACAAAAAGTTAAAAAACCAACTTTAAATTAGGAGATTTTAGGAGTATTTTTGAAACTCAAGTTTATTTTTAAGAGAATTTAGGCCTTTTTAGGTGGTTTTTCAATTGTTAAGATATTTTAGAATTTATTAGTTAGCGTGGCCACCCTGGTAATTATTTTTGAAAATATTAAATTTTTGCTTAAGGTGCTTATTATACCATAATCTATCTTATACAATATGGATGACTTAGCGCCATACCTGCCTATACAACGAATATGTTGAAATGAGATAATTAGACGTAAAGTTTAAAAGTTGATAACAAAAGCCACTAAACTAAAAAAATTAAAAGTAATTACAGTTCAGTGCACTTAAAAATTTTAAGTATAGTGTAACATTTATGTAGTGTTTGCAAAGAAACACTACATAAATCATTTTTTAATAAAATTATTTTTTTCAACTTTGTTGTATAGGTTTAATCATCCATGTAACAGTGATGCATAGTTGTATGAATTCAATTTTTTTTTTTAATGGTACATTTGAGTAAACAAATTTAAAAAAATAAACAGCAAAAACAGAGGGTTTGATAATAAAGTGCTTGAAAATATGTATAAAACAAATGCGTGTATACGCATTAGTGTATGATGCTTTATGCATCAACACTAAGCAATTTCAAGGAAGTAAATCACTTTCTCGAAATCGCCTATGTATGTGGAAAATAAAAGAATCTAAAAACATAAAATTTTTCTTCATGTAACAATTTAAACGTTAGTTTCTTTTACGATCTTCATAAGGCAAAACATAACTTGTGGTGCACTCATAGATCTTTGGTATTCTTGCTTTCTCCTCGTCAAAATCGCAAAGTTTTTTAATAAAGGTCTGCCGGATGATATCGCTGTCAAAAGATAATTCCTTACGAATAAACGGCAACTTATCTAACTTAATATAAGCATCAAAAAGAAAATAGTTTCCATGAGTATGCCACACTGAATTTGATTTCATTCTATAAGGAAGTTCTTGCTGACCCATGCTTTCAATTTTGCGAATAATTGCTTCTTGCTGAAACAAATTTGCTGCAGTTCGTTGCAAAACAATTTTTAATTGCGGGCGCTCTAATGCCCTAGTAATTAGTAATAATTCATATCTTGGCATTCTTTCAAAATTCTATTTTATTTGTTTTTCTTGTATTTTGTTGTTTATCGAGTTTCAGATAAAAACTTAAATCCAACTTGAAAATTTTAAAAATGTGTTAAACAAAAAAAAACGACAAATACCAACAAAAAAAATAAAAAAAGTAAACAGCACAATTTTATCTAAAACAAAATATATATAAATTTCAACAATTCATTTTAATTCAATTTGCTTTATTAAGTATTTTATTAAAATTAAATAAATAAATTTAAGTTTATTTTATAAAAAAATTTCAAATTTTTTAACTAACTCTGTATTTCAAAGTCCTTTGAAATACAGAGTTAGTCAAAAAATTGGTAAAGCTTTGTATATTAAAGTAAAGAATTACTTTTTTATTTTATTCTTCTAAAGCAACGATTGATTTGGGTAAATGAGAAGACAAATAAAAAAAATAAATAAAAAGTAGAACTTTGAGAAAACTCAGAATAGATCTTATATATTACATTGTTTTATATATGGTATGAATTGATTGTGGTCTGCACTGTCATTTTAAATATATAATTTTTATATAAAGTATATAGGGGAGAGGGGGTATTGGCGAAGCCTATGTAAAGGGACAAGACAAGAGGTTTAATACATCTAAGCGGGAATGGAAATTAAAGACACCAGTTATACAAAATTGATCATACTTATTGCTTATCAATTAGTTTAACTATTCAAATACAAACTTCCAAAAGCAATTTTTATAAATCTTATTATAAAACAAAAATTAATGGCAAAAATAAAACCATTGGTGTTCGGAATTACCCTACGTACGTTGGGTGATTCCGAGAACATCAAAGGGCAATCACAAACACTGTTGTGTAATAAAGAATAAATTGCTAATTGTAATAACAAAGTCTAAAAATTATATCATACAACAACAACAAAAAAAAGGAGTGGCTTTATTTCCATAGAAGCTTAACAGAATGTTACTTAAGAAAAAAGTTGCATAAAATTATCAGAAAAAGTTAAAATCAAATTATAGCAAACAACATCCGCACCTACATTACACTACTGCACGTCTGGAACTGAGCATGGGATCCCTTCTCAGCAGGTAAGAAGAAATAGTCAAATTAATTTTTTTACAATGCTGTTTTAACCATGTTCGGAGTTACCTCGCGTTCGCCATTACCCCACTCTTCCCTATAGTTAAAGTAACATAGGAAAAAAAGGATTCAAAAATGAATGGAAAAAATAAATATCCGATTACAAGATATAAAGTTATTTTAAATATTTAACAAAAAAGCTTTTGATGCAAGCGTTTTTAAATTTCATCTTTTAATAAATTCAAGATCCTTGATAACTCAAACTTGTTTTTTCAACATTTTAGAACGTGGATCACTTAGAATTGATAATCAAAAATTTGTTTTTTCAACTTTTTTATTTTAGTGTTTTTAAATAAGAATTTAAGTCTACATATTGAAACAGAGATAGATCAGGGCTTCAGTACATTTATCAAGTGATGGATTAAGTCAATTTTTAGATATGTGAAACCAAAAAGCTGATATTTCTAACATGCCTTTTTCGATATTTTGTTTTTGCATTTTAATTTTGATTTGAGTAAAAAAAAAAATATATGTAATATATATATATATATATATATATATATATATATATATATATATATATATATATATATATATATATATATATATATATATATATATATATATATATATACATACACACACTTCTTCTATCAGTTCTATTATAATGAGAAATAAACATAATATTAAGAGAAACATTTTATTTTAATGATACAATAAAATTTATTATAATTATTACTTGATATTTATCTTGAAAATCTGTAAAAAAACTTTTTTGTTGCCCTTTATATTGTAACAATATTCTATTATTCATATACATAACACGAGAATTGCCATAAAGGTTTAAAGGTAGATAAAAAAATGTTTTCCTTATTATTTTTTTTATACTGAAAAAAAAAAGTCACAAATAAGATCAAAATATAGACCTAAATAAAACAGTTGAAAGTATGTATATATATATATATATATATATATATATATATATATATATATATATATATATATATATATATATATATATATATATATATATATAGTGTGTGTGTGTGTGTGTATATATATTATAAATATATATATACATATATATATATATATATATATATATATATAATATATATATATATATATATATATATATATATATATATATATATATATATATATATATATATATATATATATATATATATATATATATATATATATATATATATATATATATATTGTTTTATACCAATAAATTAAAAAATAACATTATATTACCTTGTACTATAAAAAAATATTACTATTAACCAAAAAAAAATTAAAAAAATTAAAAAAATTTTTTTAATTTATAAAACAGAATCATTTATGTTTCCGTTGATTTTAATATGAGAATATTTGGGTAATGAATTGTATTGATTCATCTGAAATGGTGTACTACTGCGTGAATCTGTATTATCTTCATCAAGTTCACCATAGACAAAGCCAGTAATATTTTTATCGGCAATATTATTAAATTTTGGCTTTTGAAAATCTTTGTGCTCAAACCAAGTTTCAGTAGACATTTTGTATTTACTATTGGTGCATATTGCAAAAGTTAAAAAACCAGCTAAAAGTATGCCAAATAGAAATGGCAAAACCACATAAACTAAGTCAATTGATAAACTAGCTGGTGTGTTATTGTAAATGTTTTTTTTTAATACAGCATTTTCGGAATCATCAAAAAAACTAACGGTTTCTAATAAATAATTTACTTTTTTGCGTAAATTTACATTTAATGAAATAATTTTTAAAGCACACCAGTCCACTTGAAAACCATCATTATAAAACATTTGCTGCAAATATATTGGTACAGAATGACAGTTTGATGTTATTAAAGTGAATTGATTTGTTGGATCAGCATTACCCCTAATAACAACAATTATACCTGTTTTATGGACAGTGTGACCACTAAGTTTTTGTAGCGATGAGATGAATTTTGCATTCAGCCAGTATCTTTGAACAGTCTTTATAAAAACATTGCATAAAGGAAAAATTTCATCCAAATTTTTATTCTTTATTTTAAATTCCATTTGGTATGTTAGATTAAGATCTGAAAACATAAAGTTTTTTACAATAGATAACTGATTTGACAAAAAATAAAAAAAATATTACAAGTAAAATGCAATATGTGAAAAAAAAAAAAAATATATATATATATATATATATATATATATATATATATATATATATATTTATACCATTGACAAACTAAGCTTGATTTTAAACTTAGAATGAAAAAGACTGTTCGAAAAATCAGAAAAGTATATAATTAAAATATTTTAAAAATGCAAATAGTAAAAATATTTTCCTAAGTAAGCAAGAATTCTAAGAATTTGTTAAGTTCAATTTGTTAAGTAACAATTCTAAGAATCAAAAATTACCTTTTTTGTTTAAAGAAAAAATATTTGCAATATGTCTAAAATTCTGAAATGAATTAACTTAAGATTGAATCTGATATCTTAAAAGTTAATCATAAAATCATACAGTTCTAACAACTTTATTATTATTTATTATTTAACTTTATTTAGACTTGCGAAATAAACAAAAAATAAGTGATTTAAAATTTTATTTGTTTTATTTCAAAAATTCGCAGAATGGTCACACACAAGCAGTGAATAAGCAACAAAAATAAGTGATATAAAATTTTATTTGTTTTGATAATGATTGGATAGAAAGATATTTTTTTTGAATATAATATTTTTGAATTTAATTAAAAACTGAAAAAAAAATTAATTCCATTCAAAAATTCATTAAATAAAAAAAAACAATTCATAGAATAAATTGTAAAATGTTGTTGAAAGACAAAGTCAGGGATAGCATTATTACTTTCTCTTTCTAAATTCGTTATTGTTAAAAATTAATTAAATTGCTTAACAGGGAATTTCGATGGAATATATTTTTTTGTGTAAATCTGAAAAGCATCAAGGTGCAACAGCCTTTTATTTTGTTTTACCAAGCATCGAAAGTGGGGTTTGGGTTAAACTTATTCATAAAAAACATTCAAGCTCATGACAAAATTTTTCCAGATTTTACTCTAATAATGTGTGAAAACTTTTATTTAACTTAAGCATTTGTAAATGAACTAAGCAAAAGCAATTTAATACTTCTAATATATTTTGGCATTTTCAAACAATTATGTTAAATAACTTTCACTGAGCAAAGTTTTTACCATCACTTTAAATTAGGGTCCTATGAATCAATTTTTCAGTCGTGGATCAATTTTTTAGTGGTTGTTTGGAAGCAGTATTACAATTACTTTTGATTACAACTACTTTACTCTGACTGAGACAAATAAAAACATTTTTGATAGCATCTTAGCGTTGAATATCAGAAAAACAACAACACTCACAAAATAAATAGTGATTCGTAAAACTCAAATCACTTTTTTTGAATCAAATCTCGAATTGAAGCAACACTTGATTCGCAAATCAAATCGAATCGATTCGCAGGGCTCTAGTTTAAATATATAACTTTTTAAAGAAGTTACATTTTGTACAAAATGGCCAAAAACTAATTTGACCTGAGAAAACCGCTTTGACTGGGTGAAATTACAATGTTTCTTGACTCCAAAAATGTAAAATTTGAAATCCAACTATTTTGTACAAGAAAATAAAATTGATTTTAAGTTTTAACCATTTTGCACAATATTGCAAAATGACAGCTTTTCAAATTTTACATTTTTACATCATTCAAAAACATTTTAAAACTAATATTTATTACTCCGAACATACACATATACATAACAAAGACACAGATGGGTATTTTACAGAAATTTGAAACAACCATTCTTTCAAAAAATGTGAAACTGCAAAACAAATTTTCTGTGAAAACTTTTTTTTGATACTCTGCTTTAAAACACTGTACCTATTTTGGATTCTCATAAATAAAAAAAGAAATTAGTAAATTTCTCAGTTTAAACTCTTCTAAAGACTAGATTCTTTGCAATTTCTTGCTGTTGTAATCCACAACACAAGAAAGAAGCCTCTTTGCATATTCTGGATGATTGCGATCTCGCTTGTACCTTTGCCAGTGTGAGCTAAAATGATGATGCATTGATTCTGGTGCCTGCTCACTAAAGATCCCCAATAGAGTCTTTTTTATCTCAATGAATCACTTTACATGGGAGAAAACAGCATGAACCTTTATCACACTGATGTTCATAACTGCCAGATATGAGTCTTTGAAGCGATCAATTTTTTCTGCAAAATCATCCTCAAGGATCATTCCAAAAGATGCTGTCACCACAGAATTAAACTTTCGAAGGGCATCAATGATTTCAAAAACTTGAAAAGCAAACTCTGACTCTGCAATCTTTTGGAGGATGTCTATATTGTTGAGTAGCTTGTGGCAGGCATTCCCTGCAAACTGCCTGCCATGACATGGCTCTTGTGTGATGTGGAGAGCAGAGGGTCATCTAAAAGCACCAGGCCAAACTTCTGTCGAGACTTTGCACATATGATTTCTCCCACCAAGTAGCAGACAAAGCTCCATTGGAGGTATAAGTTCCAAGATGAGTTTGTTTTCAGATCCAGACAGCAATGGTGCATGGACCACATTACCAAAAGACTTAGCCTTCTTAATTTAATTGCCAGACTTAACAAACTCTTGATGGCAGGCAACAAGTGAGCCAAGTGTCTTACATTTTTAAAGTTTTCTGGAAATCCCTCCAAAATAGCCACAAGCATTTGGCGCTTGACACTACTGTCTTTGGGTATCCTATCAGTTAAAAGTTAATTATGTGGTGGTGACTTTGAATCACTCTGAGAATCCAGCTCAATGACACTTAGTGACACTTTGAGAAATCCTCCTCCACCATCAATTCCTAACTTGACTATATGGCTCTGGAAAACTCTTCGAGAAAGGAGCACTTCATTGAGAAATTGAGCAAGATCTTTGCAATGCACAACCACATAGTCAGTGGAGTTGCCATTGTTTTCTGAAAAAACTCTGATGCTGGTTTGAGTGAAAAATTCAGACAGCTGTGCACCAATGGCCTCAAACTTAGCACGAAAATTTGGCTCCACAATCTTGGTGTCACTGACTCTGTTAATGGTTGATGCCAATTTCTTCATGCCTAGATTTGACAATCCTGTATTCAACTGAACCTGCACAAGTTTTGATTCTTGGCTCTGGAAAAAAGTTTCTGGCACTTGAGCTTCCTAAAAAATGTAAACATTTTTTAAAGGGATCCCTAAGTGCTATAGAGATATGATCTCATATGAAAGAGCATTAAAAAAAAAAATGTTTGATGTATATTATTTTTTCTAAAACGTAATAATGAACACACACTAACAAATTTAATTTTCAAAACAACGCTTTTCTTCGATTAAAAAAAAGTGCGTCTTGTCTAAAGTTTATTGACTCTACTGCCTCAAAAAACTAACGTTTGTACGTCAATATAAACATAGTAGACAAAATGTCATTATTGCAAACTTATTAGTTGGTAATTAAATTTAAAAGTAAAGTCGTTTTTTTTTCAACTAACACAATTACTTACAAGAATAAGTTTTGTAGCATTTTGTGAAAATATATTTGTATATTAAAAATTTTTTTATAATTTTAATTTATATATTTGTGTTATAAGGGCAATTCCACGGCCAAAAATGAATAGAAGTCAAATTTTAAACTCTTTTTAGTCAGTTTTTAACAAATGAATATTGATTTAGACACATGAAAGTTTATTTAAAATATTTCCTTAGTACAAAAATAAATTTATTTCAGTCATTTTTATGGTTTCAAAAGTGACGGTTACTCTCATTTTTGCTTGATAAAAAAAATAATTATTGTAAAATATTTTACTTAAATTAACATTTATGTTAATTTTGCTATATTTTTTTTGGTTCAAATTAATAAGGTTGAATAGACATTTTATTAGAAATTAAACTAAGACAGGGCTCGAATTAACGCAAAAAAAAATCTAATCGCGATAAAAAATTTTTTTTTTGCTCTCTCCCCCCCCCCCCCCTCTCTCTCTCTCTCTCATAGGTCGCGCCGATGTGCGTGAATGGGGGGGGGGGGGAGAGAATTATCGTCAATAAATCAAAAAACATCGTCAAAAACTTAATAAAAAATTATATACCACGTTTTTTATAATTTATTGTTTCTTGAATAAAGGACTAATAAAAGTTTAAATATAATTAAGTTTTTCATTTAAATGGTTGATGTTTTTTTCAATTTTTCTATTTCAAGTTTTCCAATAAAAGATGAAACAAAAAAATTTGGTTAAATAAATCGAAATATACTTCACCTTTAAAATAAGGCTAAAGTAAAAAAAATTGCTGGTTTTTATTAGCATTTTTATACTGTTTGAAAAAAAAAATAATAAAAAAGAATTAACTAATAATATATTAATTAATAATTATTAGAATTAATAATAATAACAATTAATTCTTTTTTATTAGTTTTTTTTTTCAAACAGTATAAAAATGCAAATAAAAGTCAGTATTTTTTTTGCTCTAACGTTTTTAAGCCTAATTTTAAACATGAAGTTTTGATAAACAAAGATAAAAACCAACTTTTCGCTTTAACGACCTTGTAAAAATTTTCCACGCAGAGATTTAAAGTAATTTAAATTCAAAAATGTTTAACGTTGAAAGAAAATCTCCGCGCGAAAGAGCAAATCTATCTATTCAGAATAATAAACTTTGTGTGACGTTCTTTATGATAAAAACATTACTTTTAAGGATTGCTAAAAAAAATGCTAAGCTAGAAAAAAAGTAATTAAACAACCAAAAAAAAAAACAAATCGCGAAAAGATTTTTTTAAGCAAAAACTAATCACAAAAGTGTGAAAAGCAATCGCGATCGCGATACGCTTAATACGAGCCCTGTAAGACTTTTTTATAAGTTCTAAACTATTAAAAACTATTACTTAATAACTTTTTTTTAACGACATCTTTCAACCGAATGATATTATACTCTTTTTGCAAAACTAATTAAAAAAACTTGATTAAAACTTATTTATTTAATCACGACTTTTTTTTACTTGAAAATCAAAGTAGATATTTTAAAGTTGTTGTGACGTACTAACGTGATTTTTAACGACTAACAA